TTTTTTGAAAAGAGGTAAACAATAAAAAGCTGAGTAAATGTGTTTGAATGACATAATTTGACTAACAGATACTTATTGTCAAAAGCAGTCAAAAGTTCAATTTGACGTTACTTTTTTTTTTTTGAAAAAACAGAGTTGCAAGTTCCTTCTATGAACAGTGTGTTTAAAAAATTTTTTCTAATCAGCTAATATTAATCACAAAAGTTTTGTTTTCAAAAGCCACTATTCCCTTCTACTAAAAAAATTGCTGCTAAAAAATTGGAACTTTTACGACAGTAATATAGTAGCCAATTCTTTTTCTGGCAGATAACTGTTGCAAATATTTGTGAAACCAGAATAGACGAGAATAAAGGTCATAAAAAACATTTCCAGTAGCAGCCAGAAAAGGTATAACAAAAAAAAAAAAAAGAAAGGGAAATGCTATTTAAAAGTTAAAGAGCATCTGTAATCAACAGGAGGACAGAAGGTGACATTTTGAAGTACTTAAGTGGACGATAAGTGGGATTTCTCTATTTGCACCAGAAAAAACTATTTTTTGTTAGATTATCAACTATTTCATTCTTATTTTTTCAGTATCATAGTCAGTCAGATTTGAACATTACACAAAACAGAATCAGATTTAAAACATTGTTTCCTGACTGCAAAATATTACCATCAAATCAGTACGATAAACAATTGTCATTTAATTTTTACAGTAACCATTAAAATGTGATGTTGCAATCTTTTTTCACTGCTTTCAACCGTCAAAGAAAAAAATTTATTTAATATTTGCAAAAGAAGTAAATTGCATCTTTAGCAGCAAACATTAAAGCTAAAATTGATTAAAATACCACTAAGAGGAACTGTGTAACTGATAGAATAATCAGTGCCTATATTAGTTTAATATAAAACAACGTATTCCTGTCAACAGATCATAAAGATAGATCAAAATTTTGACACAATATTTGAATTTTTTTTTTTGAAAAATTAGACTTTGTTTTGTCTTTACTGAACGAGCCTCATCAGTCGAATTACATTTCTGCTTCAAAATCAAAAAATCGCTGATTTCAGCAGAAAGAAATCAGGAAATTGATGCTGTGCCACGTGTATGGGTTCCTTTTCTGGGCCTACGTATTCAGTTTCCGTGTAAACAATACATTTTTGCCTTTCATCCATTGGCTTATAGTTGGTCGAATATACCGCTTCCAATCATCTTCCTCGGAACATTTTCAAGTGCTTGTCTAATTTTCTTAAGGAACTCTGAATGAGTTAGTCAAATTTTTGAGCTTATTACTTAAAATTTACTCGCTATGGTGCTTCAGATATTTTGAAAACCAAATGCAGTTTTTCAACTCAAATCTTTAATAAACTAGTACTTTTTTCGCACATCTTGATTGAAGAAAAAACTAAAAGAATGTTTTGAAAGAGTCTACCGGTGTCCTATAAAAGCACGAAAATTTTTTCATAAGATGGTTCATAAAACTTACTAGGCTGCCAAGAAAACGCCGCTTCTCTTTCCTGTCTGTATTACAACGGACTAACAAATTAGTTTTAGGTGCAGAAAGAGCGCGGTGTAACAGTTCTGCCAACCTAAATATTACACACGTTTAAAGATAAACCGTAACCTTGTTGGTCAAACAAAGTAACTAACCAATAAACAACTTTTAGGAGAACTTTACGAAAAGATCAACTGATTTCCGATTTTAGAAATATAAACTTTGGAACAAAAAGAATTACAATCTCAAGTTTCATTTAGGAGAGACAACCTTTATTTTGACCGTCTTGAGTACTACTTCTCAAATTACCGACAACACATTAGATAACCTAGGATAAAACGCTGAGCAGCTCATTCTGAATTACAAGCAGTCCTTTTATTTATGATAGCTTCTTTTTGTTTTTTAGAGTACATAATACGCAGGCTGAATGCAAACCGAGTTAGAAACACTTTCAAAATGAACGACTTAGTTTTATGTCAAGCAAACCGTCAATCACCCGATCTAAATTGCTATTAGCAGGTATTTGCAAAGATAATCCAAAATATTGTCTCTCTTAATACTCCAGCAGTGCCCCTTTTGAAAGTACTGCTTTCACAGTAAAGCCAAAACAGAAAATCAGAAAGCGAATCTGTGATGTTTAGCATTGAAAAACGCGGCATACTGAGCTGATATTTTGAGGAAAAATTTATTCTTGAGAAGATGAGACCCACTGAGTGAGCATTATGAAAGAACCAAAAATGTGCTGATGAAATAATCAATTCATAAATTGGTTTGAAACAAGAAATCCTAAAAAACGCAGTAAAAAAGGCAACAGATGTTTTGACAAATCACAAGCGTCTTTTCCCCATATTAAATCACTAAGTTTTTGGACCGGAATAAATCAATAAGATCCCACGGCTCATAAGTTCCTAAACTAAAACGACTCATCAGTCTCAAGTTTCTTATGTCGCTTCTCAAAGTAAACTCATAATCATCTGGATTTGAAAACAAGAGCCAAAAAATCTGCATTTCCCGTCACAAAGATGCTTCAGAAAATTTCATAGCTACTGAAGAAATTAGCGGCTCCATATCTACCAAAAAAGCTGAAAGTGTATTATTGTTAAAATTTAAAATTTTCGCATACAGTAAGTTGTTTGTGGAATAGCTTCAGAGCTAAATTTGCCTCACTATAAAGAGCACAAGAGCTGCGAACCCTCGTAATTTCGCGCTAAAAAAAGCCATCGTCTCGACAGCTTTTTTTGTCAACGTAATCAAAAGACAGCTAAACAAAATGGCATCGAAAAACGATTAAAGGAGAAACTTTATCTAATTTCACAGAAGACGTTTAATAAAGACAGCATCAATATCAAATTAAACATTTTTGTAATAGTAGTTCTGTTACCCTTGCTTTACTCTAGATCAGAGGTACGAGAGCTAGCTTCGGAGTCTGCAATGACAAACAGTCTTTGAGGTCACGGTAGTCCAGAGAAATTTGGTTTGAAACAGAAAGGCAAGTAGTCTACATCTTAAAAACGAGACGCCTCTTAAGCTAGACTTTCACATTAGGTTAGGTGAAAAAATTTTTATTAAACCTTTTAAATTTTACGCATTAAGAATGTCGAGCCTCAGTGTTGGTACCTAGGTCCACGATTTGAACGGGTATAAGTGGACCACATGCACAAAACTTCTTCACAGAGACGGTCCATTCCATTTACCGACCTCCAATCATTTCTGTTTATGCTGTTCGAGACTTGAAAAGCACTGGTAATTTTGAGGTGATTAGAGTTCAAGCTTGGCAAATTCAGAATCTTTCATCAAATACATCTTTATTACAAGAGCTGTAAAGTACGAACTCCGCACACCGTTCGATGTACCTCTGTGTGTTTTGAGGAACAGTCATCCAGCGGAAACTTCTACAGAGCAAGACTTTAGATATCTGCTTGCAGAGGTACAGATAAAACTATAAGAGCTGTGGCGCACTTCTTTTGAGGATAAAACAGTGTTACTGCTTCATCACCGTTTCATTTAGCAACAGTCATCAAACTTCTGGTCCTTCGCTCATCATCAAACCTCCACCGATTCACCGTATAACCTCAATAAGAGTGAAATTCTGGTATCGTTTGGAATTTTGCCATAATGTTGTTTTAAAAAAAAGCGGTTACTTTTGAGCAAATACTAATAGCTCTATATCTCGCTCACCACCAATGTACTGGAATTTTGAAATCTGGATGCATCAGACGGCATTGGTAAATTGAGCAGCATTTGTCAAGTTATTGTTTAGATTGTTTTCGAGTGGCATTCAGGTGTAAGTGGTCATTTCTGCAATTCAATACAAGCTGCTATTAAACTGGTATTGAATATGTGATGTTCCGAACTGTTTTTTGAAATTTAAGAGATGGAAGTTGACAAGTCGGTAATCACCACTGAAGAGCCGCCGTACCGAACAGAATTTGTTAACGGAAAATTATGGAGAGTCAGGTGGTTTGATAAAACTGGAAGTAGTTCTCATTTTGTTACTGGAACCTACAACGGTGGACAAAACGAAATTGCTGTTTGGAATGTCCGGAAGGGTTAGTCATAAAAAGCTTAATGATAAACGTTCAGTTGAGGAATTCCTTCTGGTTTGGAGCTTAGTTATCTTAAACAGTAATATTTTTAGATTGCATGGATGGCGGTTATGTGCGAAGTTCTGTTTGGTTAATTGAAAATGTTTTTTTTAAGGTGGTAAATCTCGCGACATTTTTGCAAGAAAATGCTCTTTGTCTTTGGAGCCCAGTATTCGAGACTTAATGTATGCATTTTTTGCCGTTTCTGCGCTCTCGTTTTCTTGCTATTTTAAAATGTTTGTCGAATAATTGACTGTTATTTACTTGTTAATTTTTTTGGCGAGAAAAGAAAGTTGGTAGTTTCTAGATATATCTGTCGTGTAAAATCTTAAGGTCTAATTTTCTTACATATTTCTCCTGCCTCTACTTTCGCATTGTTTTCTCACCTGAGTGCTATTATTGCAATAAGTTTTCCAGAACCATTGGTAAGAAAAATCTCGCTGTAGCTTTGAACGATGGATCTGTACTGGTAGCTGAGTGGAAAGGTGATTGCATTTCTTCTAAGTGGAAATGTGAGTCTTCTAACGACCGTGTATCAGCGAATGCAGTTTGTGGAGATCAAGATGGAATTTTTGTTGGTTACAGCAATGGAACAATTTCCTCACATGATTTTGCTTCTGGAACTTTATCAGAATGGGCTGTTACAGTAAGTTTCATACCTAGTCTTCTCATTAGTATCTTATTCTTGTAACTGCTTTTCTAAGTTATTATCACTTCTCATAAAGAAGTTCTACTTTTACATTGCAAACTTTCTTGCAGTTTCACTAATTGCCAAAAACCATCCTAATTGGAACCTTGGAAAGCTTTTGAATATTTCTCGTCACTTTATTCATTTTTTTAACTTTCCTTATTCTGTGTGGCTAATTTTAAGATACACAAAAAATGAAAAAACATTAAACAACACTTTTCTTTTAAATAAGATATTTATTTCTTTAATTTAGTGGTTTTTGAACACAATCATGAATTTTAAAATTTACTGTTTTATGGAAAGCACGGTGTTTTTAGGGGCTGTCAAGTGTTCAGTCATTATCGCTGATGACACCTAATGTCATCGTTTCAGCTCACCTAAGTGGAGCAATCTGTGTCTGGGATACTAGGCTGAGGTCTGAAATAGGTGGTGTACCTCAGCCAAATTTTTCTTGCGTTGTGAGCCAGTTATGCGATGCTGTTACAGCTATAGCAAATCATCCTGCGGATCCGCATATGGTTCAGTATCTTCTCCTCTTTGTTATTTGCTTATGAATTTTGTAATAGTTGTAAACCCCAACTGATCGCTGTCAAAAGTAACTTTTTGAGACATTTTCTCATCGAATTTTTTTTAGATAATAATAGACAATATCTTTTTGCTTCTAATGTTAAAGTCATTCTTTTAATATGTTTTTAGGTTGGCTATGGTACCAGTTCTGGAATGGTAGAACTGCTTGATACTCGTTTAACCGATAGTATTGCAGAGTCAAATCCTCTCCCCTTAGCAACTGGTCCTGTTTGGGAAGTGTGTAACTTTTAAAATTTTTTTACGTTTAGGCGATGGTTAAGAAGCGTACTTCTTAATATCAAATTTTCAATTTTTTAGGTAGGCTTTCATCCAGTTTTTCCTCGGAATTTTTATGGTGCTTGGGAAGGTGGACATTTATTACATTTTGAAACAGGTTTTATCGCCATGTCTGAGTAAGGCTTTAAACTATATTTTCATTCATAATTGTACGTATTTATTGCTTTACAACAGTATGTTTGCTTTTTGTTTATTTTTCTCCAAAGCTATGTGGAGTTTTTGTATTTGATGCTTTCAGTGAGAAAATTCGTTCCTCATCACTAAAATTACAGTTTTTAACAGCATAAGAATTGCTTATGGATTTGATTGTAAAGCATATAACATACACTTTAAAAGCATTATTTTTTTAGTCTAGCCTCACAAAATGATCAGACGAGTAATACGGAAAGCAAAATGGCTCGGTTTTCTCGGCTTGGTGATGCTCGAGTTAGAGAAATATTGCAGATACCTGGCTCTGTAAATACATTTAGCGTTTCTTCTAAATCCATTCTAGTTGGATCGGACAATGCATCACTGACATTGATTGATAGAAATTTTTTTACCTAGTGTTTCTTATTGTTTTTTCTCTTCTGCTGATTACTTCAAACGGAGTTAGCAAACTTCCACGATATCACTGCAATATGCTCAAGTTATAAAATGAAGAGTTAAGAGTCATCCGCGTAATTTACTTCGAGTTGTTGGAAAGGTATGTTGTCTGCCTTTCAAAATTTTAGTGGTTTAAGAAATTCTATTGTGTTGATAACTTTTTTTAAATAGTATTCTTGAAAAGCAATAATGCTGAGTCTGGTGCTAATTTTTTTGGTAAGGAGTAACGGAAATTTTAGGTTTTGGTTTAGGCGTCGTTAAGGATGAGTACCATACGTTATTCTTTCATTTGGTACTGGTTTTGCAAAATTAGTGTTATATCTTTTTGAAGTGATATGAAAACTAAGTTGTTGCAGAATGGTTTTAATAGCATTTGTTAAATTAGATTGTTGTACAGCTGATTTGTTTTCTGTTTTTGCACAGTGTTTTTTTTTCTTAAAAAGTGCTATTTTTTCACACCGTTTAGTCGTTTTTCCCATGTTGCTGGTTAATTACGTTGAATTAAAAATATATAAATATGAGGGTCACTTTGTTTACAAATTTCGCGTCAATGGCAGTTTTGCTCATCAAAAGTCGTACTATAAATTATGTGGAAGTGGTTACTGTTTTTTCGATGGTAGTTTTTGGGGTTTCAGTTGGGATGGGCCGGTGAAATAGAAGGTGGGCAAGTGATGTCGGAGTCTTGGAAGGTTATTATGAAGTTGGTACCGTGAATGTTAAATGGCTTTTTTGGTGGGGAGAGCAGGTGTGCTTTGTAGCTCAACAGTTTTTTGCTGGCGTTTTTTTTTTTTTTTTTTATTTACCCTGGAGAATTTCACAACATAGGACGTTTGATTTATCGTTTACGAAAAAATCAGCTAAATTATTAAGATTTTTTAGAGGCATCATAAAGTTTGTTGCGTAACAGTGAAGTACGGCAGTCACTGTGACTGCCGTTTACATAGTCATGCATTGGTTACTTTTTTTTAATTTGCTTCCATTCAGTTTTCTAATCCATTGTCTTTAAGTTTTGTAAGATGCATGCTTTCGTGAACAGTGTTTGCACACATTTAGCGTATGATAATTCCTTTGAGCTGTATCTTCATTACCTCACAGCAGTGTTCTTGTTTCTGAACACTAAGAACAGTAACGCTTTATGGAAGTTTTAGTGCAATGAACTTTTTAGCTCATTGTTAAAGTACAAATTTTGAACAACGGAACTTTGGTGCGGGGGTACTGGCGGATTACAGTAATAAGAAGCTAAATCTTTGCTATTTTTCGGAGTTAGTAGGGCCACTAGTAGTGCACGTTCAGTATGAATATTCTCCTGGTTTTTTTGGATACTTACAGATAAAAGCAATAGGCTGTTGCGCTACGCAAATTGATTCTCGTCCCCTCTAGAGGAAGGAGAATTGATTTTACTTTTGTGTCTTGTGCAGGACTGTCACTTCCTCTCGTGTGCAGTCATTCTTTTTGGTTCTACCTTTTGAATAGGAAGAGGACGGAACAAGACAGCGGGAATTAATGTTTCAAGAAGAGCTTTTTGGAATTTGGCTTTCCTAATCTTTACACTTCTTTTGTAGCAAAATTGACAAACATTGACCAACCTAGAAAAGCCAGTTTGTTATATTTATGGGTTTAGAAGCTTTTTGTGTTCAACTTGACGGAAAAGCTTATGGAAGCTCGTTTACTGAAACTTAGAACTCTGGAACCTGTACATACTATGATTCTTCTCGTAAATAATAAGTAATTTCAAAGTATCATGTTCGATGAGTGTGGGAAGTGTCGAGGAAAACATTGATTGCAGAGGAGTGATAAGAACTAAAAAAAAACGACGTCAAGTTATTTGTCAATTCTTCATTGAGATGAGATGAAAAAGATCAAAATTCGAAACCTTTCTCTTGAGTATCATTAGAAGATGATATCAAAGAAAACCAACCTACTGAGAAAGCACCGGAAAATAATAATGTTTACTGATCGGATTATCCAGCGTTTTAGCAATATTTTTTAGGGAGTATTGAGTAACACGACAAAAGATATGCAGCAGAAGTTATTAGCCTTTCTGTCACCTATCCTATTTGTGTAGTGTCCTTATTTTTTCCGCTTATTTTTCATCTTCTAAAATTCGCTGTTTCAAAGTTCTCGTAGACAATTGTTTCAAATTTCAAGCTGCCATTGTGTGTATGTTAAAAAAACAAGAGGTTTTGTATAAGTTCTATCAGAAACTTTGAACCAGATTAAGGCATGACTGCAGAAACCGCTCAAGGAACTTCTATTAACAACTTTCAAATTTTATCAATTTTTCACGGAAGCCATATTTTGTTGCGTTTTTCCTTTGTGTTTGCTTTCAGTGTCAATTATTGGTGGCAAATTTTGGTATGTGTACAAAAAACTATATAGTTCATTGTTTGTGGTTTCAAGACAATTAGCAACAAAGGTAGAGAAGTATTATCGCCTCTAATCAGTCAAGGTATTAAAGTGGAGGAGGAGCGGGGGAGAAAATGGAATTCAGACGTTTCATTTTCCTTTTTTTTTTATTATTTCACTTAAAAGTTGTAAATATGTTACGTTTTTAGAATCAAAATACCGATACGATTTATGATTTTCTCGCGTGCAAAAATTGAAAATTTGGTCTCTTAAACTTTTCGATCTCTTTGACATGACAGGTTGAATATTTTGAATTGTTGATAATTGTTTTGAAGGTTGAATAAATAGTTTTTGCTTTCACAGCGTTGCACAAGGAAGATTGTTTTTTATGTCTAGGAAAAATTGTGATCAAAATAGTAACAACGATATAAAAGATCATAAACATAGTGCTTATCACTATGTACCTGATAAACGAACCAAAACTATAGTGGCTTTCTGGCGTGGACATCAAACATTTACACGACTACGGTTCTTTGCTGATCAATTGCACCTGACACTGAGGTTTCGCTATATCACTTTTTGTCAATAGCAGCGTCCCATAGTCGACGATTTCTAGTGGTCAAATGTATCCATCACTTTCTAAGCGGTGACCCTCAACGTTAACATGGCAAGCCGTTAGGATCGGATGGTTGTACACAAAAAATACAGCAGCTTTTTCAACTTGACTCACTGACAGTTTCTTGAGAAATTTTGCAAGAGAAATTTTGTTCTAATATACCTGACCGATTTACTATGAGCCTTTTGGACCGAGTCTCATCTCCATAACGTCGACTATGAGCAGTTAAGGTTTCAGTTTTATTTCGTGTTTTCCCTTCATTCTTTTTACTGCTTCTTTAATACGGTAGGCCAAAAGGAAGAGGAAACCGGTCAGAAGTCGTTTCTAGAAAACCATTAATAAAACAAAGGTTAATTTCGGATTTATTGTTGTTGCGGACAAACTTAACTTTTACTTAGTCATACCGTACTCTAACAGATTTTCACAACAATTATTCGTGTAGATATTTTTTCCAAACACAAATTAATTAAACGCTCAATTAGTTTTTGTGCCGAGTGTTGACTAATGTTGAGGACTACATAATCATTGTAATATTAGCATATTGTGAGAAGTACCGAGCGGAGTAGCAGTAACGTGAATCTTTCCTAGCGTTTCTTTGATTCCGTTCATACAGTTGCAGTTTTATTAATTGAAACTACCTGAAAAACGTTCACTTTCGACGCAATGTACTTTTAAATCATTTACTACATATGAGCATTTATAAGGTGAGTGGGATAAAAAAATAGAAGAGCTATTTAGTTAAGTTATATTCATATATGTAAAAGCGCTCGTTAAGCAAAATATTTATCGGAATGTTCAAAAACGATAAATTATAACAACATAACGATCAGTAAATCTGCTTAAATTGCCTGTTCTAGGTTCAATTTTATCATTCTGAGTTATTCAAGTAGTTCAATCAGTGGTATATTTTTCTGATGCTTCAGGATCTTGTAACAGCTACAACTTACATCACTTTTTCTTCTTTAGAACAGTTTTATTAAGCTTTACAGAACCAATAAATTTAGAAGACTTAAAGTTATTTTTTGAATAAGTTTATAGGCTTTGTCTTTATAGCGTCCTTTCATAAGGGTCAACAGCAACTGTCCTTTATCTCGCTTGATGAGCTTCTCTCATCATTGGTCTTGAAAAAAAAACCTAACATTTTTTGTTATTCATGCGTTATTCTTTCCTTTTTTTTTTTTTTT